ATCAATAGCCGTGTCCACGGTAACAGACGTTCAGACTTGTATCCTGATCTATTACAACTAGAAATGGATACTTGAGATATGTGATGGATATGTTGGCTCCGAGATTGCTTTCTCGCAGGGAGTCGAGGAAGGATCTCTGGGCGTTAATGATACAACATGTTTGTTAATTATGATATGATATTCTTTACTCTTCTACATGCTGCAAGATGCTTGGAGCTGCTTGAAGATGCTAGTCTTCGATAGGCTAGGCCTTTCCCCTCTATTCTGGCATTTTGCAGTTCAGTCCACAGATACAAACCTTTCATTTGATACCAATGCATACTTAGTATAGATCTGATGCTTGCGAGTACTTTGGATGAGTAGTCACAGTTGCTTTGCTCCCCTCCCCCCTTCTTCCTTCTTTCTGGTTGTTGCAACCAGATGGTGGATCCCAAGAGCTAGATGCCACTCCCGTTGACTACTACTACTACCCAGAGGGTGCCTACTACTATGTGGAGGCCACCGACGACCAGGAGTAGTTAGGAGGTCCCAGGCAGGAGGCCTTTCCTCTCCGGCTGTTGATGTTTGTGCTAGCCTTCTTAAGGCAAAACTTGTTTAACTTATATCTGTACTTAGATATTATTGCTTCCGCTGACTCGCTTGTGTATCGAGCTTATGTATTCGAGCCCTCAAGGCCCCTGGCTTGTAATATGAAGCTTGTATGTCTTTCTTTTGTGTTTAGAGTTGTGTTGTGATATCTTCCCGTGAGTTCTTGATCTTGATCATACACGTTTGCGTGTATGATTAGTGTACGATTGAATCGGGGGTGTCACAGAAGGACAAAGCAGTAGCTTGAAATAACTACGACATGTAAATTGCACTAACCTGCAAAATCAATATGAAATGAATTATGATTAAAGTGCATGGATTAGTCGTTTTTCCATATGTATCTTCTAAACAAATGTGGACCCCACATAATCAGAAGAACATCTTACACAGTTGCGGTCTGCGGTAATAGAAATTCGACCCCACACTCCTTTCTGGCAAAAAGGAAAGCCTATCATTTATCTAAAGCAATACGCAAGTCTCCTTTGTACAACCAATTCTAGCAAATAAATAGCCAAGTTAGCTGAATGTCAAGAACAAACATGGGAAGACATATATGAAAATTGAGTTCATGTAATAAGCTTGAAGACCCAAATGGCACGGTACTTGTAAGTTCTAACAGAATCTAGCCCATGCGATATGAACTCAGTGGCTTCAAGTTAACTCAAATGTGTCAAATGTACCTATAGGACCG